AAAGAGTGTGACAAGCATTCCACATTGACGCAGAGAAGTGGAACGTGTCACTTAAAGTGCTTTGCATCATCAGAGTAAGTCACGCTGTTGAACAAGGGCTTACCTGGCAGGCCCTGGTCTCCCTTTGTTCCCTTTTGCCCTGGAGGACCTGAGATCGTCAAAAAAAACAAACAAAAATTTACAAGACATTTTTAAAAGCTTATGCAAACTAGCATTTTTGATAGATTTCAGCTTGTGTAGTTTATCTGTCTACACCACAGGCATCTATTTCTGAAGTGGGTGTCTGATTTCTCATTATATTCAGTGCAGACCTCATCAATAAAGAAAATACAGGCAGTGGAGAATCATCTTTTCCTGAAGTAGACCAACTTCTGATCATTTATCTCATATCCTAAACTCCACTGATGGGATAGAGACCCTCCCTCCAGGTGGGTCTTCACTGACTGTATAGGGAGCCTAGACACGTACATTTAGGTGTATCAGACATATGTAAGCACATGATGTTGTGACTCCCATCCCTACTATCCAGGTATCAATGAATGCAGAAGGGTGCAGCACTTTGGCCTTTGTCACCTCCTGATGGACAGGAGAGGTTGTGTGCACTATATAAATTCAGGATTAAAAAGGTTGATTCAGGAGAAATACGCCAGAACAGGCTTGTACTGCAGAACATCACACTATCGTTTGGGTGTCTGGGACAGAGAGACGGACTTGTTCAGATAGAAGGTTAAAGAAAAGGTCTAGGCTATGTGCTTCAAGTTGGCCCCTGAAGATACCTCTTCCTGCAATGCTGCAGAGGAGGCCAGGACAGATGCTTGCTAGTGAATACCCTTCCCCATCATATTTACAGCCAGTAAAATTTGTCTTTAGCTCCAGGGTAGGGAGGTTGTTGTTTGGTTCATCTTAAACTGCTGTTTTGTTTTGTGCATTTTCTATTTATACAAAAATGCAGACAACATCACCTCCTCATGCACGTTACAGATGGTTGAAACAACCCATCCAGTGAGTAGCTACCCGCCCCGCTCCCGGCAGTCTGGCAGACTGGGATGTGTTGGGGCTCCAAAAGCAGGACTCAACAAATCTCCTCCTTGCTGTTGGAGATCCCTTTCCAGTGTGTGCATGATGTGTGTTGTTGACCCCAGACCTGTTTTATTCTCCTTTACCTGTTACTCCTCTGTCTCCCTTTTCACCTTTGAGTCCTGCAATGCCTGGTATTCCTAAAATTAAGAACAAATCAGTAAGGTTGAAGCTATCACACAAAGCAAGGCCAGAATAGGAGGTCAGTCACTAAAAGCTGTAGGTTTGAGTAGCATTGTACCTGGACTACCACTGGACCCGTGGTCCCCCTTCTCCCCTTTCTGACCAGGTCTGCCTTCGAGGCCAGGCATTCCCATGGGTCCACGTTGTCCAGTCAAGCCTTGAGGTTGAGCAAAAACAGCACACGTGAAATGCAAAACAACATATGAAGGAGAAAAAAACCCAGCTCAATCACTAGCCCCTGCACTGTGCAGATTGAGTTGACCCTATGAAGACAAAACAAATGCTGGGTCTCTCTAAATTGCAGTCCTCCCTTGGCAGGGCTAATCTCAGTGGTGCAGTGAGTGATGGCCTGGAGTGAAAGGCTGAATGGATCCAGGTCCTTGCAGACTGTCAGCCTTTAGAGGCACAAGTGCTATCCTAAAAGAGCAGCCAATTTCTGCCCTTGTGTGTGCACATCTGCCAGGAAGGACATGACCCTCCATGGTACAGGACATTTCTTTCCCTCTCATTCTCCTGCACAGAGAATGGGGTCCAGATGAGACAGCCAAGGCTGCGGGATGGGTTTGCATAACATTGACTTGGTTTCTTTATCTAATCATCATCTTCTCTTACCCATGCTGGGATCTAGCCTGGCTGCAGTTTTCTTGTCATGAAGCACCATCTAAAAGAGATTGGTCTCATATCTCTAAAAGAAACTGCACCTTCTGTACTACTTACCTGCCTCTCCTTTCTGCCCAGGATGTCCAGGCTCCCCCATGCTACCTGTGAAAACATCCTAGCATCAGTGCTAACGAGGCTTAACCAAACACTTCAGCTAGGGCAGCCCTCCATCACGCCATGCATGTGCTGATGGTGAACTGCACTGTGTCCTCTGCACTTACCATTGAAACCGGGCAGTCCTGGGACTCCCTGCTGTCCCTGAGCACCCATGGGTCCATGGGGCCCGGGGTCTCCCTTCTTGCCCATTTCGCCTTTCTGTCCTTGGACACCTACCAAACAGCACAGTACATGTGTGTGAATGAAACAAAACAAACAAATTTGTTGTCTCTGCAGCCAGTGGAACACCTCTGTGGCAGGGCTTGGCCTCACACCCACAATTACCATTATAGCATTCCCGTAAAGCTGTAGGAGGACAGGGCTGGATGGCACCTCACAAGTCTTTCTGAACCACCTCTGGCTCTACCAGACTGTCTGGCCAAATGTTTGTCTGACCTGCTCTTAAAGACTTGCAGTGGTGCCATGACACCTCCTCAATCTATTCCCCAAACTATCCCTACCACTAGAAGCTTTTCTCCTCTAATTAAATATCCCTTATTGCAGCCTGAACCCTTCCCTTCTCCTAGCTACAGCTAGGAGACAGAGGACAACATATCCCACTCCTGTGCTCCCAGGGAATTGCCACATCTCCCTTTAGCCTTCTCTTTTCTGAAGAGGTGATCAGCATGCTCCAAAAGAGCTGAGTTACTTGAAAGTGCCTCATTTAAAGAATGACATCTTCTTCATATTTTGGCTCCAGGATTATCCCAAAGTCCTCTCCTTTTGGTATTCCTCTGATGGAAGATCTGAGGAAACTCTAATCAACCTGTCCAACTGTCCTCCCTGGTCTGCACCACACACATCTTCTGCTTCCTTTTGCTGTCCTGCTCTTGTACCCTTTCCTCTCTGGGTGCAGCCCTCGAGAGACCACTGAATAACAGCTATCCAGGAGGTGCCCCCTAATGCACGTTACATGGGAGAAACATGGTGCATAACTCTTCTACTTAAGGTGTATAAAAGTCAGGCTTATATAAGACATAAAGTTTTCAGAAATAGATTTTGCTAAATGAGGACTAACATCCACATGCTTGTGCGTATAAATTCTATTGTATTATTTTATGCCATGAAAATCCTACTGCAAACATCACTGCTTTAAACTGGGATAGGCTAATAATTGAATACGTGCAGCTTTCATTAGACAAAGGTCACTCTATAAAGAGACTTCCATGATGCAGAGTCAACATTTTGTATGTCCTCTTCCCCCAGCCCTCCTGTGGGAGCTTCGCTGGAGCGTGACATAAAATTAAATCCCTTCAGATCAGCTCCCCCATTGACTGGCAAGCTGGATTTTTATGAAATATCTGACCTATGAAGACTTATTCTGGTGTTTTAAGTAGAATGATCTTAAAGAGGAATACATGGGAGAATCTTAAAAATGTTGAGATAGTGAAGAAGTCTTACCTGCAAGCCCCATCTCTCCTTTTTCTCCTCTCACTCCTGGTTCACCACTTGGGCCAGCAGGACCAGGATCTCCTTTGCTCCCCTTTGCTCCCTGCAGTCCATGTAAGCCTGCAAGGACAACACCACTTTTCTGACTCTTCATCGGGTGTCGCATCCACTGAACATCAGCAGCAGGCCACGCAGCTCAGCTCCAGGCATGAGGCAAACTTTGCTCTCTGTGTACTTGAGAATGGTACTGAGGGCAGTGAGGAATTGGACCACTATGACTGGTGCATGTTGACTTTTAAAATAAGAATTTTTCCACCTAAGTTTTACTTTTGTTAACATTAGCTTTACATAGGCTTACTTCCTTCAACTCCAATGACATTCCTACTGACTTACACCTTGACTGAGGACAAGATTGCCCATAAAATCATCCATAAAGCCACTTTATGTTCATTCACAGAAATAATTCAGGTGTCACAAAAGCCTTACCTTGGACTCCTCGGTCTCCCTTTGTCCCTGGTGGTCCCTGTAGCCCTGAGATGTAAAATACATATATCAGCTGACACATGTCATCTATCTCCAGTAATGGCTGAGAAGAAGAGATGAATTTTTTAATCATCCTTTGTGGCTGCGTCTTCAGTCACCACTGAGGACTATTGTCAGCTGGCAGGGACCAGCACAACCGCTGAAGCAAAGTCTATGGAGCTCAGCTGAGTGGATGGCTGGGCAGGGGCCAGCTGTCCTCCAGCCAAGCCCAGCTTGTGGGGACCTTTGGGAAGATCTTTCCTAAAAATGCACTGAACTATTGGGCTCTGATGTATAGTAACGATGCTTGGCGGGAGGTGCTGTTTCAATGTTGTGAGTACAGCCAGGAAGATATGAAAACATGCTTTTTTAAAAATGTATTGGTTTTTTTCTTCAGAAAAGCTCGTCAGTGTAGCCAAGAACTAGGGATGGATGAGATACAGACCTGACCTAACAAGGGGTGCATCTTAGATCATCATTATAGGATCACAGAAACTCTGGTTTCTCTGGACATCGCCTAGTCCAACCTTTGCTCGAAGCGGAGCCAACATTAGATCAGGACTTGCTGCATCCTCACAGTCTGGAGACATTTATCTCCTGCAGCGGGTGTAGTTCTACCCAAAACCCCCAGATACCCAGGGCAGCAGCTTGTGCATGGCTGTGGAGGGGAGCATTTGCACCCAGCTCATTCCTGAGTCTGGGCGGTCGTTTCCCCAGGGACAAGGGTGGGCAAGGTCCCGAATCTGTCACTGTTTGTTACATGCACTGTTCAGCTGGGGCCCTATAGAGCAGGGACTGGGGAGGTCTTCTTGAGTTGTCCTGGAGTGAGTTGGGCAGCACAACTTGCTACGTCTGGGGCAGAAAGCCCAGCTATCCGTTGGTTGTGGGATGCACATAAGACCATTCACTGGTCCTCTCTTGTCTCACATGGGGATTTGGGATGCTTATTGCGTATAACAACCAGATGCAGTTCCTCCATCATCCCTGAGCTTTTCTGGTGGGGTAGCAGTGGGGAGGCAGAGCCAAAATGCTCCTCCATGGTGGTCACTGACCTCTACAGGAGCACTAGGGCAAGCCGAGGCTCCTGGAGGTTCAGTCAAATGGTGCAGCAGGTCTCATGGCCAGGGCACTGGGTGTCTGTCTGCACATTGGGTAGGATTTGGGTCTAGAGACTGAAATCCCAAATCCTCACTTCAGGTCTCTTAGGGGAAAAAAAATGAGAAAGAGGAAAAGTGGAAAAGTTGCTTACAGCTCTTTTACCAACATACCTGGTGGACCAGGGTCTCCTTTGCGTCCAGGAGGCCCTGAAATAAATATTTAATGGATATTTTTCAGTAATCATCACTCAGTAAGGGACATAGCAGTATGGGGTTGATAGGCTTGAGGGATGAAGACAGCACCCTTTTGGAGGGCACCCAGAGCCCAAGTCTGCAAGTTACGGGAGGGGAGAGCAGCCCCGAGCCGTGTGTGCAGCTTCTGAGGGACCGGGGAGGGCTGCACGGGGCTGTGCCCCAGCTTCTCCAGATGTGTCCAGCTCCCCAGCCAGGGCATCTGGAGCCAGTGTCTAACCCTGGGCACTGGGGCATCACTAAATGACAGGAAGACCAAATCTTGCCCTAGTTATTTGGTCATCTGAGCTAGGTTTTTGGCCCCACTTTGCCAGTGCTGCAGAAGAACCAGCTCTCCCCACTGTACAACCATCATGGAGAAATGGAGCCATACCTGCAAGCTGGGTGATGTTGTTCATCATCGTCATCAGGTTTGCATTGCTGCTTTTAATTATGGTGATTTCCTCTTCTACTCTTCTCCTCCAGTTTTCTTCACGTCCCATGTGCTCCTCTGTAGAGTTTCTCTCCAAAAGCAGTTTGTTGGCAAAGGAGCTTTCCCAAATCCCTTCTGTATAGGGTGTACTTTGTTCTTGACATTTCAAGATCTCTCTCTGCATCTTAAACACTGAGGAAACAAAAGGCCCATGCAGTGGATATTCCCTGCCCAATCTGGCTGGGAAATGCCTGTTCAGTAAAGCAGCTCCTCACCACCCATGGAGGACACCTGGGGTTCAACACCATCACCATTTGACCCGGGGAGGTGGCTTTCATGTGCTGGTCCTTGCTGCAGCCAGGAGTGCAGCCAGAAGTGCTTTTGCAAATGCAAAAAACATATAAGGGGTGGAGGGGGGGGTGGTTTCCTGCTCTGACTCGTGGTGTGCAGAGGAGCGTCTGTGCTCCCTCAGAGGTTTCCTACCTGTGTGCTCATCCCCGCTGGCCCGCACCCCCGAGAGCGCCCAGCAAAGCTGTCTTTTGACGCCAAGCCCGCCGTCGGGTTGCAGCATTACCTTTGTACGCCAGCAGCGCCTGGCCGGCTGTCAGCAGCAGCAGGTAGACACCAAGGGCTGCCCGAGCACAACATGTGGATGGCTTGCTTTGGCTTCGAGGCTCTAAAAACCAACAGAAGTAGGGTAGACACCCTCTCACATCTCTCCAGCTTCAAATTCTGGTCCCTTCCAGCCATTTCAGGCTTGGCCACAATAAATTAGCAGTGCTTTCCCGCGACGGGGAGCAGCAAGGTCCCTCTGTGAGACTGCAGGGTCCTGCAGGAAAGGCAGGCTGCCTTCCTCTGACCCCGGCTTTGCACTGCCATTCTCTTGGACGTCTTTTCCTTAGCCAGTTTAACCCGCTCACTTCCATCAAGACTTAATCCAGCCTATAACAGTATGCATGTGGTAGTTCTCCCCTCTCTGCATCAATAAACTCCCTCTTTCCATCGCTTTCAGGTGTCCCAGGCTGCCATTCAAAGAGGGTTGCTCAAAGCACATGCCCTCTCCATCCAGAGCACTGCACACAGGCGGTTCCAACAGTGAGGCATGCATGCCTCGAAACAAATGAAAAATCAATAATAAACTGAACTGCAGAACAAATGAAAAAAAGTCATAACATTTAAAACAAATTGTCACCAGCAAGTGTAAAAGAAATGAACTGCTTTGTCAAATTTCGGCCTTTAGGGAGAAAAAAACGTTTCAGAAACATTAATAACTACTTCAGAAATTCAGTGAGTTACCCTTAATTGAGTTTTTTTCAAAGTAATGTAATCAGGAGTTTAAAGTCTTAGCTTTAAAAGAGTACAGTGATTTAATTAGTTTTACAATGTAACGGTTTAGTCAGCAATGAAGTATTTATATTCAGCAAAAAATTCATAAATTTACATTTTTTTATTGGATCTGGTGATTTCAGTATCTTAACTATGAATACATGAAAGTTTTACTCAATTTAGGCATTTTCTAAAACAGGAAAAAACCTGATATTTTTCTGATGCTCAGCATCAACTAGATGGACACTTTTGCATACTTCTTTTTTTAAACAGTCAATTAATTTAGTAGCAAAATCACTGTAAAAAACATTTAATATGCAGTATAAATACAATATTTCATTTTTATGTGCTGCTTTCTTCATAGACCAGATAAAATCCATATAAGTCCATTTAATAAAAGAAAACCTTACCACTTATCTGAAAGGTTGTAGTAGCAGCGGAGGCAAACCCAATCTTGTCTGAAATACTGTAAGTGTTCATATCACTTGAATTTCCATCTTCCCCGTATCTGTCTTCAATTTTCATGACAAATTTCTTGTGGCTAACCTAAAGCCTTGTCAGATTATGGACAATAAAGAACTGAAGGGAATTCCTCTCTTCCTCCTGATTTGATATGCTCTCCGATATGCTTTTCCTATCTATCTGCTCAGTTTTTATAGACTTGTGAGAACTCTGATGTGGTAATTTGAACAGTTCCTCAAAATATCCCACAGCTAAGATGTTCAGCTGCTCTTGTGTGCTCATTTGGGGACACGTTGTCCACAGAGCTTTGCACGGGGTCCTGCAAGAGGTTCAACCCTGAGTTATTCAACATCTCTGCACTTCAGCGGGGTTGGGCATGAGGTGGCTATTTTGCTCCCAACACAAGTAAACCTCCTCACATAGCCAAGAAGATCCCAGGTTCAACATTAGCTCAAACATCCATCCCCTGGGAGGGGAGATGGAGCACTGCATGGCAGTGAAACACACGTTAACTTGCACCAAGATGACAGCTTAGCGATGGTGCATGACTGCAGTGCAGGGAAGGAAAGGATCAGGAGCAGTTGTAGAGACAAGTGACTGATGGTGGGGTGGGGGATGCTGGAGCCCAGTTGGGTTTGGGATGTAATGAAGAAGAGACACTTGCAACCTCTTTGCTGAGACTCTCTCCAGCCTCTGCTTTCTCCCTGACCCATTTTCCACACCCACGAACACATCTCCTATCATCTCACCACTTCTTTGCTCACGTTCTGTAAAACCCACCCCTGCAGACCTCACTGTGGCGTTTGGCATTTTGGCATCTCCATTTCTGCTGGGGTTGATTTGGATTTTGCAAAGTGAAGCGACTCACCCAAGCCTGCGCATGAGAGCCGTCGGTAGGCACCAGGCAGAACCCTCGGCACCCACGCTGCCCCCACCACATGCCCCCCTCTTTGAGGTGCAGGGCAGTCCCCATCAGATGGTCTTCTCCTGGGCTGCAGGTCTGTGCTCATCTGTGGGGCTGCTGGGTCCTCGCGGCTTTGCGTGGCCATGGAAGAAAGTGCGGTGTAAGCTTCAGGTAGACGTGAGATGGAAATCCACACCCCGACGGCCCTGTGCAGAATGAAGCTCACTGTTCTGCACTTGATTATAGATCTCTTAAAGGCTTAAACCAAAAATATGTGGGGATTTTTAAATCCACTCTGCGTTCTCCTTTCAAACGTGCTTGTGCAGCTGTGAGGGAGGCACCAGCAGGGAGGAAGAGGAGTCCTCTGTTATCACATATTCTGCCACATCACACTGTGTGGGAATTGGGATAATTTGCTTCATTGTGAAGGTCTCAGATACCCCCTTTGAATTAAGGTGGCTCAAGAGGTTATCACCGACCAGCTGAGCCATAGTAACTACCTCTGCATCCTCTCCCTTCACGGCATCGCCTCCCCACTGGGGTAAGGGCTTGTATCCAGCCCATTTCTAATGGTTTGGGTGGCTCAGCTGACCACTGCGCAAGCCTGAAACCATCTACTCTTGCTGAGCCAGGTAATGAGCTGGGCATGACTGCGCTTGTGTTGCCAAGTGGATGTTTATAGGGCTGGATGTGATTCAGGTGCAGGCAGAGAGCAGATTTACAGCAGAGCAGCTTTTAACAACACTTCTAGGCAAATCCGTTTTACTTGAAAGGTATTAAAAAGAAGCTGGCAGCTGTAGTTTTCAAAAGCCCTTCTAAAAGGCAAAAGGTGTGCAATGAGATCTTTGTGTCTTCCTTCCCTGAGAAAGGAGTTCAGGATTATGTTTTCCCACCTCTCATGGTCATGCCATTCTCAATGGCCGAGGCGGCATGGGTGCAAAAGCAGGGGTAGAGACCCTTGATTTTGACAGTCCTGATCTGCACTGCTTCAGGGTTCAAAGTCCAACTCTCCACTTGGGTATTTTGGGAAGATCGATAGCAAAGGCAGGATCCCACCCAACTTTGCCCACCAGCTGCGGTTGCCTATCCAGAAGACCAGACTTAATTCTCCCCTTACTTCTAGTCGACGTAGTCCCGTGCAGCTCTGCGTGCTGCAACGTTCCCACCGGCCAGGTGAGCATCTGGCTGCCTGGGAGCATCGTAGTGTGTTTCCATCTGGACGTCAGACTCTGCAAACAGGCGGCAGATTTCCCCGTGCACGTGGCACCGGGGGTCTCGGCCGTGCCACGGGCGTCAGAGATCAGGCACCGAGACGCTCGCTCAGCCTTTGCGTGCACTTGCTGCCGCTGCCCCCACCCTGCTTCCTGCTGCCTCCCCTTGCTGGCTGCCCCATCACTGACTGCAGCAATAGATTGACTCTGGTTGTGCAATCAGGGTTACTAAATCAAGAAAGAAAAAAAGAAAAGAAACTGCTGATTCAGTGCAGTCTCCCTAGGTTGAAGGTTTGCTGGAACAATGGGATTATTAATAGAATAGCAGTTTCCAGCACGTTATGGGTCATGTCTGCTGGGCCATCAGCCTCGCCCTCCAGGCTCTCTGCCATGAGCCCTGGCCCCTCTCCCTCCTGCTGCTCTTCCTGCCTTCCCTGAAATGCTCTGCCAACATCTCAGGGAAGAACCTGAAGTCCTCTGGCTCATCCTGGCCCTTCTCTTCCCATGCTCTGATGTCGGTGGCTCGTTCTGGGCAGAAGGTCCTTCTCATGCTCTCATTGCACTGGTGGGTGCGCTCCATCTGAACCAAGTTTTACAAACGGACCGCAGCCGCCTCAAAGTCACGGGCCTGTGGGTAACTGCTGAGGGAGCAAAAGGGAAGTGTCTGGTCCCTGGCCATCCCCGCTACCTTTCTCATCTTCTTTCACCGCTGTTGTCAGCTGCAGGCATTTGCCACCACCAAAAGCTCATGGCAGAGTGAAGACGCTTAATGCCAAACTCCAGTCTGGCATTGGCTAAACACAGCCCTTCCCAGCAGTGATACTTCCAGGGAGCTTGGACAGATGTTGTCCCCTTCAGGACAAGCATTTATCCTGAAAGAACTGAATTTGTGATTTTTTAAGGTTTTTTTTTCCCCCAAATGAGAAGATATCCTAGCTCAGAGGTGTTTCTCCATTTGCCTTATGGTAATTTTTCCAAGCTCATCCATTTGATTGCAGACTATCTTAGGCATAAATGAGTAGAATTCTGGGGGCTTTGGTGTCCCTTCAAGGATGGGGAAGAGAAGAGGTGACTGCACAAACAGGCTCCATGCCAGGTAAGCCAGGGCAGCAACATTTCGCCATCACCTCTAGACCGAAGTGAGAGTGGCAGCCAGAAAAGGTGACAGTCCACCCCTTACCCCAACACCTGCACTCATGTTTCTGCAGATGGGCTTCAAAACCCCAAGAAGTAACCCTGCCCACAGACCATGCTGCTCTCCCACAGAAACAAGCAACAATGGTGTGACCTGGGACACAGCTGATAGATGCACACCACAAAGCATCAGTGACCAGAGCTGTACAGGTGCTTGGGCAGTGGTAGGTTTGTTTGTAAACTAGATTGGTTTTTTTTCCCTATTTTACATGACTTTTCAGTCGTCTTCTCTTTTTGAAATGAACAATCTCAGTGAATTTTGACATAATGGTCAGCTCTTGTAGTGGATTGACCCTGGTCATCAGCCAAACACCCACCCAGCCACTCACTCAGTCCCCTCTCCCAAAGGATGGGGAGAAAATAGAAGGAAGGTGAGAAGACTCATGGGTCGATACGGTGACAACTTAATAGGGAAAGCAAAAGCTGCACTTGTAAGCAATGCAGAAAGAGGAATTAATTCTCTACTTCCCATTGGCAGGCAGATAGGCAGCCGCTTCCTGGGAAACAGGGCCTCAGCACGCGTAGTGGGTGGTTGGGCTAACAAATGCCCTAACCACAAACATCTCCCCTTCCTCCTTCTTTCCCTGAACGTCTATTGCTTAGCTTGACGTCATATGGTGTGGAATATGCTCGTGGTCTGTTTGGGTCAGCTGCCTCGGCTGTGTCCCCTCGTAGCCTCTTGCCCACCCCCAGCCTACTCACAGCTTGCCAGCAAGCACTACTCACCAACAGCCAAAACATCGGTGTGTAATCCACGCTGATTTAGCCACAAATCCAAAGCACAACACCATACGGGCTGCCGTGGAGAACTTTACCTCCATCCTAGTACAGCTCTCCAGTGTGACGGTGTTTATACTAAAATGCCTTATTGTCCCCGAGGATGGACCGAGGACTTTGATGCCCATGGACATCATGAGGCACTGCTGAATTCAGGGAAATGCCAAAACAAGCTGTGAGTGATCTGCCCACCGGCAGCTCATGGAGGTGCCAGGTATGGGGTCTCCCATGTGAGCGTCCCACTGACTGCCCAGCTCAGCCCTGGAAAAAAGTGAATGCAGCCCGAAGGGCAAGAAATGCTGCAGTACCTGGAGAACTTCCATGCCGAAGAGAGACTGAGGCCAACATGCAAGAGCTACACAACTGTCATTTGTACCAGGGCATTAAGACTAAGCTTCAGCCTGGACCCACATGGGAGCAGGGACCTTGTTGTGAAGGCCCCCATGTCCCTGCATGCCCACAGCTGTCTCAGGGGGTCCAGCTGCTGTGGTAGCACCTGGGCACTCCTGGGACCATGGAGAAGCACTTGTGCTAAAGCAATAAAATCCCGTGCTGCCTGGCTGACATTTCTCCTTTCTAACTTGATGTGTTGCTTGGCTTTGTTGTAGAGATTGAAACCAGATTTTCTTTCCCTTCTATGAGTTATGTTAATTTGTGTTTCATCAGAACTTGCCTCTTCTCCCCCCTCCTCCCTCTAGGCTGGATCCAGCTGCACCATGAATTCAAGGAACCACCTGCAAAATATTTTAATGACTTCAACCTGTTCTTTGAGGTGAATTAATACCAGGGCAGCCTCTGCAGCATGGTGAAATAGTCAGGGTTGGCTAAGCAGGCCACCCTCAAAGCCAAAAAGTATGTTCTGCAAGGCAGCTCCTGACCCGCAACTCTGTTTTCAAGATCCCTACACAGTGTCTTGCTCCTCACCTGGAAGACAGTTGTCCCTTATTCAGGTAAGAGCTGATCCCAGAGACTGGATG